ATATATATATATATATATATATATATATATATATAGGTGTCATTCATTCGTTTTACTTTTAGCTTAGTCACTTTATTTATCAGGGGTCACCACAGCGGAATGAACCCCCAACTTATCCAGCATATGTTTTAGACAGCGGATGCCCTTCCAGCTGCAACCCAGTTGTGGGAAACATCCATATAAACTCATTCACATACATACACTATGGCCAATTTGGTTAATTCAATTCACCTATAGCACATGTCGTTGGACTGTGGGGGAAACAGGAGCACACGGAGGAAACCAACGCCAACATGCAAACTCCACACAGAAATGCCAATTGGCCCAGCCGATGCTCAAACCAGCGACAACAAACAAACAATAAACATACAATGATATTTATACAAAAATTATATAATAATGTTTTACATCATATTGTTTATGGATGAGATATGATCAGAAAAGCAAATATTAATAAGTAAAAACAAATTCAAAGTAGTTTAAAAAGTTGAATTGGTGACAATATAGAAGCTTCTAGTAAACAAGTGTAAACAGATAATATCATAAAAAAGTTGTGTAAATAAATGCATACATTTAAATAATTTTATATAACTTTAGATCAATAAAATCGATCTATATACTTGTAGTTATATATATACTCAAATAGAATATAACATAAATATATGTTGTATGTATGTATGTATGTATGTATGTGTGTATGTGTGTGTGTGTGTAATAGAAAATAAATTATAAAATTAAATGATTGTATACAATACTGTAATCTTTAAGAAAATAGAATGATTTAATAATAAAATAATAACAATAATATAATATTTAATAATATTTAACTTAATAAAACGATGGGTTGCAACTGGAAGGGCATCCGCTGCATAAAACATATGCTAGATAAGTTGCCGGTTCATTCCGCTGTGGTGACCCTTGATTAATAAAGAGACTACGCTGAAAAGAAAATTGATGAATGTAAATAAATAAAATACACACTCATTTAAATTATTTATTATAAATATGTTTTTATTTAAAAAAATCAATCTATATACATATATATACAAAAATATTACCTAATTAACTGGGAATTAAATATGTAAAGGTAGGGTTTTATATAAAAAAATGTTTTTAATACAAAATAAATTATTAAATAATTGTGTAAATAATTACACAATAATATCATATTTAGAAAATATAATAACTTAATAATAATAATAATAATATAACAATAATATAATATTTAATAATATTTAACTTAATTAAAATATTTATTCTCTAAATAATACTTAGACGCTATTCATATTTATTTATTTTTTATATATTTATATTTATTTTCAAAAATTGTCGTCATACAAGAAGCAATGTAGGATGAGGATTACTCTAATGAAGATGATCATATTTAAATGTCCATGGCATCAAAAAGTTTAAAACCCCCTGATCAATTAATTTAACCCCCTGATAATTTCATTAAAAAAAAAAATCGTGAAGGAATTAAAACATTAGCATAGCAGGTGATAACAAGCTGATGTCATTCATGAGTACAACAGCAGATTAAAAGCATTAATACTGTACATATGAATATTAATGTGCTGTCAAAACGAGGTGATTAAAAGCGAAGCATAATCTGGCACAGTCTCGCTCTCTCGTTATGGTTGCTTAAAGGGGACGCAGGCCTATTTGTGTGTGTTGTGAGACAGATGGGCCCTGCCTTTTTCTGACTGCAGGGAGCAGATGGAGAGCAGGGCCAGAGCAGGGTGTCATTATTAGCACAGGGGGGTTTGCAGGAAGGATGGGGATAGAGGGAGGTGGGGGATTCAGGAGATGCCAAGCCTTGATAAATTCACCATCCCCGGGGCTGCAGGAAGACCCCCTCAAGCCTTCTCTCAGGGGATCGCACTCAGTGCTGAGTCTGCATTATACCTGGCCAAAACGCACTGGAGCAGGTCTGCCTGGTAATGAGATTGGAATATAAGCTTGAGCTTCTCCTGCTGTTTGTCTGATAGTGCTTTGGCAATTCAGATCAAACATTTCCTTCAGCTATAGAGCTTGAGAGAATAATGTTAGTGAGAATGGGTTAAAATAATAAAACATAATAAGAAAGAAAATGAATATTTTTTTATGAATTTATCACTGCTCTAGAGGGTCTTGTATAATTTTCACATCTTACTAAAAATATAAAGTGTCAATAATGTTACAAAAAAATCACATCAAAAATTGTCAAAGCAGAGATTGAGGTTTAATAATGCGATCTGAAAAAGTTGTGGAAGGGAAGTCGTTCAAGAATCAAGTGCTATCAAGCTGGTAAATACATACAATTGAAGTCAGAACTATTACTGAATTACCCCTGAATTATTAGCCCCCCTGTTTATTTTTTCCCCAATTTCTGTTTAACGGAGAGAAGATTTTTTTAAACTAATTTCTAAACATAATAGTTTTAATAACTCATTTCTAATAACTGATTCATTTTTATATTTGCCATGATGACAGTAAATAATATTTGACTAGATATTTTTCAAGACACTTCTATACAGCATAAAGTGACATTTAAAGGCTTAACTAGGTTAATCAGGTTAACTAGGCAGGTTAGGGTCATTAGGCAAGTTATTGTATAGTGATGGTTTGTTACTATAAAAAAAATCGCTTAAAAGGGCTAATACTTTTAACCTTAAAATTGCTTTAAAAAAAATTTGAAACTGCTTTTATTCTGGCCTAAATAAAACAAATAAGACTTTCTCCACAAGGAAAAATATTATCAGACATTATTAATTTATTATTATTATTATTTATTATTTAATTATTATTTAATTATTATTAATTAATTATTATTAACTTAACTTTTTTTTCTTCTTCAAATATTTCCCAAATGATGTTTAACAGAGTAAAGTTTATAGATAGTTTATTAGATTTTATGGAGATGCACTCCCACTGCAGAATCATCCTAATTGATCTAAAATTAAAAATTCTTTTCAAAGATATTAAATTATTTGATGAAATTGTATTCATGTCGCGATATATGTTGCAAATTAAAATATCGCAATGCTAGATTTTTCCAATGTTGTGCAGCCCTAGAACAGACCATCGTAATACACTGATTTTCCTAAGTACCCAAACTTGCCTAAATAGCCTACTTAAGCTTTTATATTGCACTTTAAGCTGAATACTAGTGTCTTGAAAAATGTCAAGTGAAATATTTTTACTGTCTTCATGAAAAAGATCAAATAAATCAGTTGTTAGAAATGAGTTATTAAAACTATTATGTTTATAAATGTGTTGAAAAAAATCT